GGAACTGGAGGAGAATCCGTTGAGAACGACCTTCAATTCACGGTTTGACAGAAATGATTGTATCAAATCAAACAGTTGAGCAGTAACACCATACCCTGGAGCTTACGAAGAAATCCGGCGTGCCAAACCCTATCTTTGGCTTTGGCCACAGCACGAAGTATCACCGTTGTTTTGAAGGGCTTGGTAGACGGTTTCAGTGATGGCCGTAAGCACATCAGCTGTAGATCAGGGCGTAGCGGAAACCATATTGTATGTCTGAGAGCAGATTATGGGATGTGGGTGATTAACCACTTGGGCATTGATTAGGGCTTCTTGACTTTGCCGAAGAGGGTAGGAGACTAATAGGACGGTAATTAGTGGGGTCAGAGGGGTCTCAGAGTTCTTAAACACAGGAACAATGGATGAGGACTTCCAGCAGTCAGGAAAACATGATTCCTTGAGGCAGTAATTATACAGTTTAGAGAGGGCGGGTGCTAGCTCAGGCGCGCATTTCTTCAGGACAATGGCTGGTATGCCATCTCCACCACTAGCCTTGTGGGGGCTAAGGTGGAGATAATGCCCAGTACCAATGACGGGGTTATGTTTAAGCCGCTCAGTAAGGCCTCAGTTCTAAGAGGGGAAGTCTGGTTTCCACCGGTGGAGTCGAGCGTTGAATTAAATGAGAATTTCCGAGCAAAGCATTCAGCCTTGTAGGTAGAGGAGGTCAAGACCTCGAACTGGTTGAATAAAGGAGGAATGGAGGGTTTTCGATTATTCAGGACACTCTTGCAGACTTGCCAATAATCTTTGGAGCCAAATTTGTGAGATGCAATACGTTCCTTCATTCGAGCAGCAAATATTGACTTAGCTTCGTTGAGGACACGCTTACACTCGTTACGGGCAGAGGCAAAGAGACGTCTATTGCAGTCCGACATGTCGCTACGGAATCGATGAAAGAAGTGATTCCCTATGGGCGATGGCAGATGAGCAAGCAGCGGAGAACCAAGGGGAGGAGTGCGACTTGACCTTAAATTTCCTTGAGGGGATGAAAGCGTCGATTTCAGCTTTAACCCAGGATGAGACCTCAAAGCACATTCTTGGACAGGGAGTTAAAAGACAATATCCCAGGGGATATCGCGGAGGAAGTCACGGAATGAGTCCCAATCCGCTCGTTGATAGTAGAACGAGGTTCTTGTGATGGGAGGTTCTTTGCAGGGTATGGAGTTGAAGGAAACGTTGACAGATACCACAGCGTGATCTAAAATGCCAAGCGGGCAGAGCTGTGTGGCGCTACAAGATTCAGGGGATGGAGGTAAAAACACAGGTCGAGAATCCTGATGCCTTTAAAGCCAGGTTTCGAGGGCAAAACGCGTGGGGAAGTCGACTATCTGCGTGGGGATTGAGGAATTGAGAAGTTAAATGTTTGAATGCCAGCCCGGTCAGTAGTAGCATTCAAGAGCCAATTTGTGTGATGGACATTAAAGTCACCGAACACGAATATATATGGGCAAACGGGTGGAATAGAGAGAGGGCTTGTCTATGCTGTCAGATATGCTATCAAGTATCCCACAGTCTTGAGAGGATGGAGATTAATAGAGGAAGAAGATAGCTTACGGCATCGAGGAGAGATAGTCGAGACACATCTACGATAGGTCTGGCGATTCGAGGTTTACAGCTCTCTGGCCAGGGGAGATGGTCCTTGACATAGACACCAAGGCCGTGTATGTGGGTTAGAGAGTCTTTCCTGAGGAGAGGAAGGTAGCCAGGGATCGAGAGATCAGTGGAGGGAATAGACGAGACAAGGTTTGTCTCACACAGAGCCAGTATATCAGGGCAGTTTGCAGTGAGGAAAAGATTTCAAACTGCAGAAGTTTGTTCTAATGCCACGGATGTTGGAGAACGAAATGTTGAGGGTTTAGGTGATTTTTGCGGGGCTGGTTTAGGTTTACTTTTTTGATTCAATCAAGTCTTCATGTTTAGTTTGTTGGAAGATGAGAAGGCCTGAAGTATAGAGAAGCAGATGGTTATCGACCGCAACGTGAGCAGAGAGGAGTTGGCATAATCTGCATCATAGTGTGGCCTCAGGGTTGCCCACCGGGGTGACTGCAGGGACACCGATCCATGCGCGTCATGGCACTACAAACACCCTGGTATTATACAACTGTTGATCAGAGCGGCCGCTCAAGACGCTACGCAAGAGATAGGGCTCCTAACTACCAGTCCGAAACAGCAACCAGTGAAATGTCAACCGTGTACCCTCAAAATGAAGAGGTAATGCCACAGACTGCGTGCACATCACGGGAGAAAAATATCAGTACTAGTACAGAGGCCAGAGAGAGAGAGAGAAAGTGCAGGAACCCCTTCTTAGACAGGAAACAAAGTGTGAGCCTCTACGCTTGTCCAGGGAAGGGGAGAAGTGTTGACCGGGCGGTAGGAGGGTCTACCTACTCCTATTACATATAACACATAACAGTGACAATAACAAACAGATAAGGGCCGGGAAGTAGTTGGCAGTGCCCATTCCTGGCACTATACTACGCGCGTTAAGGGGGATAGGATGGAATTTATTAGTATTTTATACTTATACAACACTAAGTATTAAGTATAAGTCCCAATGTTCTATTCTAAAAAAAGGGACATTTTTTTTCTTTTTTTCCAGAGTTTTTAAGAACGATTTTATAACAAAAAAAACAAAAACATCATTTAGGTTGAATAAGTATTAATGTTAAATTAGTCAGGTGATCAATTTTCACAATAGCTGAATAAAATAAATTCGTAAAACATGATGAATATATATATATATATATATATATATATATATATATATATATATATATATATATATATAGAGAGAGAGAGAGAGAGAGAGAGAGAGATATGCTATCGGATGCGTCTTTGGTAGAATGAATTTATACTCACACATGGCGGAAAGTTATTCTTCGTGTCAATTCAAATCAACCAGTGATTGTACGGCTAGTCATTCTCACACCCAAGTGTCAAGTTACAGATAACGCAGTGCTGGGTGTGGGGGTCAGTCAGTGACCATTCTACCCTTCACCAGCAGTGGGCTTGGGAGAATTTGCATTAATAAAATATTTAAACCACGAGGAGAACGAACGGCAAAACGATTCCGCGAGAGGTCAATTTTTTTTTTCTTATCGAGCAAAAGATCATAATTGGAGGGCCAAGGAATACTGAAGACATGTTAACTCATGGTGAAGGGACATTTTTCCTTTTTCCAGAGGTAGTGGGGACGATTTCCAACTACACAAACAAGTTATCAGTTAAGTTAGAACAAGTATTAATGTTAAATTTGTCAGGATGATGAAGCAACAATAGCTGAATAAAATATATATATATATATATATATATATATATATATATATATATATATATATATATATATATATATATATATATTCATATATATATATATATATATATATATATATATATATATATATATATATATATATATATATAGATATATATATATATATATATATATATATATACATATATATACATACATACATACATACATTATATATATATATATATATATATATATATATATATATATATATATATATATATATATATAATATAAAGTGTAAATGGATATAAATCCGACAGAATGAAGAATTTTGAAAAAACAAACAAAAATCCTTAAATGTAGTTAAATGAAAGAAATGTCGACGTCTGACGTTTATATTTTTTTAAACCTTTTTTCAGACAATATTCATCAAAATTAATTCTGTTATCTTTGACAAACAATGGACATAAATATGTCCATATATATAATGAACTGAATTGTAAAAACTTTCATGAATATTGTCTTATTCCAATAAAAAATGTTGTTTTTGATGAATATTGTCTTGAAAAATTTCTTTTCATTTATTTTTTTTCATTTAACTTTTTTTGTTTTTTTTTTTAAATTTTTGATATATATATATATATATATATATATAATGATTTGAATGCAATAAATAGCTATAAAATAAACTGACTTTAATAGATAGATAATGAACAGACTGTGATTATGAGAAAGATCGAGAGATAATGTTCCAGCCTGTTATAAAAGAACAAAACGAACTATTGTGTGAACAGTAGATACTTGAGAATAGTATTCTTATTCAAGCAGAAATAATTTGACGTAAGTAATTTTGTTGTTGTACGAGTGTATGCAACCAAAACTTTCTGATCATAATTTCAGCCTTGAAAAAAATCAAATTCAATTGAAAACTTGTGGAACACTATTAAAAGATATTTATATGATAAAAGAAAAAAAAATTCAAAGTTCTCTGGGAATCAATAAAACTGCTCCAAAAATCTTTAATTCAAAACAGTACCAATGCTCACAAAAAACATGAAATTACAACTGACGTATAATAAATAATGCCAAGGTGTATTATAGTAACAACTTTAAGTATGAAGCTTTATGTGATAAATTCAGCCTTAGCGGTGAAAAAGATTAAATTTTATTGTGAGCAATGATTACAAACGCAAAAGAAGATGAGATGTGCTTATATTACTATCACACAATCTGTTCATTTTAACATCTAAAATAATTGAATGCATAATAATTTATTCGAGTACAAGACATATTGTGTTAAGTAAATAAATGTTACTGTGGTTTACATTTTTTTAAAAAATTTATTTATAAACAAATTCTGTTGACTTAGTTTAGAGTTTAAACAAGAAGTTTATTAACAATATTTTAATGTCGATAAACTGTAACTGTAAGATATAAGATATATTGTTTATATGCATGGAAGTATATTTTGTAAGTTTTATGAACGTCTCTTTATTGGTACTAAGTTTATTGAGAAAATTAACATGTATAAACACCGAAAATATACAAAGTGTACATCAGAAGTGTTGAAAGTCTTTCATATATTTATTTATTTCAAAATAATACAAAAATCTAATGTCCTTCCCCGACCTTAGTTCTCTAATTGCAACACTTCAGGAACTTCTAGACTTCTTACTTGTAGTCTTCCAATGTGAAGATGATCTCTTTCCGCTTCATCTATATTCTCAAAAATTTAGCCAATGAGTGGTCTTCTTTATTAGAGTATCGTATTAATCGTGACAGAAAATACTCCAAAAACCTAAGTAATGACTTATAACGTTTGAGGAAGCGAAAATTATGAACACATTGTGTTTGAAGAATTATGGAGTCTTCGAGAACTGGCTGGAGCGTTGAAATTTTAATGAAATCGGAGAAAAATACTTTGGGGGTGATAATTAATTTGTATTGTTTAAATATCATAAATAAATAAATGTCTCTTTTGGAAAATTCTCATAATTTATGGGTGTATAATTACCTTAGAGGTAGAATCTCGAATTTGATTCCAAATCGGTAGAGTTTCAATCCCAGCTTGAAGCAATCGGATATCGAGTCACACTGTGAACTGTGATACAGCGACACAAGCTTTTATGTGATTGACTATATATATATATATATATATATATATATATAATAATATATAAACATAAAAAATGTCTTAATATATATATATATATATATATATATATATATATATATATATATATATATATATATTAATTTTTTATGTTTATACATTCTTTTTACAGATAGAAATATTTAAGTAAATGCTCTGTTTATAACAAACAACATTTACCGGCCTGAATGTCCGAGAAATTTTCATAGAAAATATTCGTCCTCCGACAGGAATCGAAGCTGTATCCTATAGGGAACCGGCACATAGCCTGACGTGCATTTAACCGATTTGGCCACAGAGGCGCGTTCGGTTAGCAAGGTCGAATTTACTGCCTTTAAACTTCAATCTTCCATGAAACTCTCACATAAATTTATATCTGCTCAAAGCGTATCCAAATGTAAACAAATGACAAAAAATAATCATGAAATGGACAAAAATCCGACATTTATTTTAAGACATTTTTATGTTTCTACATTCTTTTTTTAAAATAATTGTCGGACTTTGTCCATTTCATAATATGTGACCTCATTTGTATATATAGATAAAGAAATAGATTTAACTAAAAAAGAAATACCTTCACTTCATTTTTTTTGACATAAGTATCCACTTTTATGTTTTTTTTTATTTATATAAGCTCTATATCTGATATTAAGCAATTCACCCTATATTACATGTTTATACCGTACTTTAAATGTATATTTTTATCATATAAATACAGAGTGTGTCAAATTCGCGCACCTTAGGTATAATGCATTATAAGTATCATGACATATGAACAATTCATTTACTTGTAATTTAATTGTTATATGTGCTGTTCAAAATGACCTCCTTCTTTTTCAAAACACATTTCAATTTTTGTGCAGTCCTGGGTATGATGATAAACTACGTTCAACAGCAAGGCCTCTGATCAGGAGGTTTTGAGAAACAGGAACCACCTCTTAATTGCTGGTATTCCCAGGTCCACCGTGAGCCAGGGGTGGTAGCACCTGTTAGGGTCCCACCTATGGGCAAATAGTTAACCCCTAAACTGAGGTAAAAAAAAAAAAACATTATAAAAGTGTAAAAATAGGTTTTAATACCCGAAGTAGTTTGTAACAATTATTAACAGAAATAAATGTTTGAAGAAAAAAAAACTATTATCAGTAATATATATTTTTGAAAAAAAAACAAACTATTACCAGAAATATATTTTGGAAAATAAAAATATTACCAGCCATATATTTTTGGAAAAAAAATTTACCAGCAAAACGTTTTCGAAAAAAAAATATTACCAGCAATACATGTTTTAAAATAATATTACCAGCTATACATTTTTGAGGAAAAAATATTATCAGAAATAGATTTTTGACAAAACAAAATACTACCAGAAGAGGAAAAATAAGTTGTCGGCATTAAATAATCCATTGAGGTTGATATGCTGTAAAACAAAACAAACCAAACCAAACCAATCAATTTTATGCCTGCAGGATTCATTAACATGTGTGGAGAGTTCTGTCATTTTATGGCATTCATATATAATTCTTTTCTTTAAATTCCTCATTATTTCTCTCATTTCAAATCCCCCCCTCCATAGAAAAAAAATCGAAGAATGTATGATCTAGTGACGACAGTTCTCACTCAACAGGAGCTCAAACCTATCCATATCGTGTTATGGTAACTTACCCATAATAATAATAGCCTATTCCTGACATTATAAATACTGCGCCTCTCAAGAAGTGTAGGATATTGTAAGACGAGGAGAGATAATTGAGAGCATATTGTAAGGCCATTGGAATAGTGATACTTGTCGAGACAACATAGTTCACTCTAACCAAATCGGATAGTCATTACTAATACTTCTACTTCTTTGTATTATATTTCTGTTGTAATATATCTTTGTATTCCATACCCGTGTTCGTGTTATTCTTTCATTGGTTCTAACCTTGGACCATCACCGTGGTACAAGGAACTTGGACCATAACATATTGTGAGCTACTTTTGCCTCATCCTTTATAGGAATAGATCTATGTTTGTGTACGTGTTTGTTAAACAATCATGTATATGCAAAATAAAA